AGAGAGAGAGAGAGAGAGAGAGAGAGAGAGAGAGAGAGAGAGAGAGAGAGAGAGAGAGAGAAAATGGATCATCTGTAAATGTTAGCAATTTTAACCATTTTTCTTATCACTGAGATCACCAAAATTCCAAATAAATTCAAATTTAGTTCTTTATTTACTTTTTTCTCAATTTAAGTCCATCTTCCCTTTCACAAGGCAAAAGTTAGGAATATCAATAATAAATGTAAAGTTAAACAATGACATAACAACACATCTTTTTATTATAAAAATATGAAAAAGTACAGATAAAACACACCAAGACTGTACATCAGCTTATGACCATTAATACTAAAGAAGAGGAACACACTGGTAATTGAGGGTCATGGTTAACAACAGGACAAAATTATCATACCACACGAGGATAACAAGCAAATCACCATAATCATGGATTATCTGCAGTGGAAAGAATAGAAGAGATGAATAAAAATTAGGACCAATCAGTGAAGGAATCCTGTCCTTCAGTTTTGAAAAATTGAATGTGATCAGTGCCTGCAACGGAGACAGTCTAGCAAGTCGTCTCTGCTGGGAATGCCACTTGAGGTTGAATTTTGGGTTGTTATTCTATCTGCCATTTTGTGCCAAAAACAGAATCAGTTAATATGTGATTTACTTTTTTCTTTCTTTCTTTCTTTTTTTTTCCTTTTTTTAGTTTCTATAATGTGTTACTTGCTTCTATCTCTTCTTGAGAGTTTAACGACACTTTGTCATTGGATACCTGGCTTCTTATATTTAATTTTAAGTTAGAAGTCACTTAGAAAAATTAGTATTCATTAAGATTTTTTATTATCTCACCTCGAAATAAAGAGAACACGTGATTTTTATTATCAATCCTCCCTTGATTAAAAACTGCAGAAAATGCTTCCTTAGCATACAGACACAACTGTCATGAATATTCTCTGATTATGAGAAAAACTAACAGAATGAATATCAGACAACAAATATTTCTATCTATCACTATGCAAACCTCCTTCAAGCAGTCTATCTCCTAAGACCTCATTTATCAAAAGTTGGAGTACCTTCATGAACCTCCTCCTCCTCCTATGAGATAAGCTCATGTAGATGGAGTATATTCTGAAATTGTATCCTGATTGTATCCTTACTCCAATATCTTACATCATTCTATCCAAACTATATTTTCTTTGAAGGATATAATACAGTACAGTGTTTAAGTGTCCTGGTTCTTCCAATTTCAACACTAGCAGGTGGTGACAATCCTTATTTTATTTTATTATTTTCTTTTTTTTTATATAATTAAGTCTGCTTCCTCTTGAAGAAAGTAACCAAACCAAAATGCTATTTAAAATGAGCATACATGAAGCAGTGTTTTCAGTGCAGATGGCTGTTGGCTACTTCTAAATAACTTCGAACCCGAGGTCATGAGTGGTAATGAGCAGTTAATGTATGGTGAGATACATCACTACGTCCATAGGGCAAATCAAAAACGAACTATCATAGCACTTATAAAAGCCAGTAAGAGCAAGTAAACTCATGTAAATAAATTATGCGAACAACAACAGTAAGATCTTCACGGTAACGATTTCTGGAAGCTGTGACGTAGTGGTGGCGAGGAGCCTTTGACACTGAGCCTTAGGGTGGCGCTCTGCTTGCTATATTCCAGGAGAAGGAAATTCCTGACAGTAAGAAAAAAAAAGATGAAAAAAGTGCATGTAATGGGAGAAAAATTCTTCATAGGGGATGTGATCAACCAGAGCAGCAAAACACCAGACTCATCATAGAAATGCACTGTGATGAATGAATTGCAAATCTATTGATTGAAATTGTGAGCTTGCAGTCTTTGTGCAGATTATCCATGACAGAAACCTTAGCGCAAGAGGGAAAAGAACTTCAAAATCTACAGAGTGAAATAGATATCACACAAACACAGTCTTTTAATAGTGCTCTCAAATATCTATCACAAACAGTGTGCTTAAAAAACAAAAAAAAAAACAAAAAGGAAATTAATGTCATCATTCTCCATAAACCACTGGATCTGACTCCATCTGCAGGATCATCATTCCTTAATATCTTTTTTTACAGGGGATCAGTTATGGTGTGTGTAGGAAGGGGCAGGGTTGGTGACAAGCATTGTCAGGTAGACACCCAAATTGTAACGAGAAAAAAAAATATATATATATATATATACACACAATATTGCCAGACAAAATTTACAGAGAGACAAAAAATAAATGAATGTATGGATAAGTAGCATTCTGGCCAATTAGAAAGATAATAAAGGGTTGAAAGAGAGAATACTTAAATGATACTGCATGTAAGTGAACCATTAGTCCAAGTCATGATCCTTCAAATAAAGCAGCCCATGATCCACACATGCCTGGTGCAAAGTTACGTCACTTTCTAAAAGTAGTAGCTGATGCCTGTAAGTCTACAATACACCAAATCCAAAACAAACTTTCACTCATTCTAGAAAGCTCTCCCCCTAAACTTGCTTTCTATTTTTTTCATTTAGCTTTTCTCAATAAAAGGTTGTGATAAAGGCTAGTATTTCCCATTTTTCTTAACTACATTCCAAGCCTATATGTACATGTTAATATGTTCAGTCTTCTTTACATATTAATATTCCTCAATAATAATATATCTCCTAACCAGATCTGCCCACTCTTTCCTTACTCTAACTTCATATCTTTAAGTTTATATTTGTTTTCTTTTATAAAAAAGGAAAAAAAAAATAATAAAAAAATAAATAAATAAAATAAATGGAACCAAATCATCTCCACATTTCCTCCCATCTCCTGACTGATTCACTGATTTGGGAAATCATGCTGGAAGATTGCTGTTCATTTTATGTCAAAAGGCATAAAGACTGAACAGCATAAGCCACATTGTATCAATATAAAAAAATACATATCAAATGAGCAAGCAGCATGAAACTATGACCCCTATGATATAATCTACTATTAATATACACAAAATAAAAAAAACTTGTATTATCTTCTCTCTACTCCCTAGTAACCCTGTCACTTTATCTGTCACGCACTCACAGACTCATCTTAATAGGGCTGTCTTTACTCTCATTCATAAAACTGTAGGAAATACAGCTTACAAACATTATCAATTGCAAAATGTTTTAAGTATTCAATCAAGTATAACCCACTTGACTAAGATGATGCCCCTAAATTCCTCTCTTTATAATAAGTCCAAATTTCCTTTCTTATTTCGAGGAATCAAAGGGGAGTGTCCGTTGCAGATTCGTTGGCGAGCATGCAACTTTCCAAAGCCCCGCCCACATCTCACTAGCCCTCCAATCTGTAGTAAAGTATTGAGCCAAAAATCTCCATCAATGCTATGGCTAAAATGCTGTGCTCTGTAACCAACACACATGTAGTAAACTGTTTTTCACTTTTAATCTGTTCTTCTAAACCAGCTATAAAATATGTGAAGGAAAAAAAAAAAAAAAAAATACAAACTAGCAAGGCAAAAACTCCTACATGATAAAAGCGATTACTGCAAAAAATGATGTGGATAGAATAATACTCTACTGATGTATAAATACACATAAATATATTTACCTAGAAACAAAAAAGTACTCAAACACCAAGACTGACAGCAGGATAAAGCAGCTATGATGTGTGCATACATGTGAATGTCGCTATCAAGACTGTGCCTCCTTAGCCCCTATACTGATAAGAATGCTAAAGATGACTCTTCCCACTGGATAACTTATGATGAATAAAAAAAAAAAAAAAAAATCAGTAATAATAATAATAATAATAATAATAATAATAATAATAGTATTTTGATAACAATAATAATGACTATGATAATAACAACAACAATAATAATAATAAATGCTGCTTAAGCTACCAGACCTTATTCTACCATAAAAGGGGAATTAGAGTATGATCAATTTAGCAGCATACAGAATGAAAAGTCAACTCACTTCTGACAGCTTTTTGTGAAGTACGCCATTGCTCATGTCATCCTTGGAGAGCTGCAATTCCTGAGTGAACTTGGCTGAGTCTGAGGATGTGGGGAGGCTGCTTTCATCTAAACTACCACCAGATTTTCTGCAACAGTGAAAGAAAATATATATATGAAGACAAGTAATTGCCTATTTTGAATAGCAATAGTCACAAAAATTTGGAGGAAAATATATTTTATTTATAGCTGGGGAAACTTATGAATGATATAAAAGCAATAACTTTTTCTCCCTTTTTCATAAATAAACTAGTTAATCAGATTAAACAAATGGCTAATTCATAGTGACACTCAAGCTTTCACAACGTCACTTACCTGATGGTCATGACAGGACTCGTAGCTGTATTCTTTGCCAAATCTGCTTGCTGCTGCCGGTGAGCACGCAACTTACGTTCCGCTAGCAGAAAATAAGTCGCTGTTATGTGATTGTACTCATTCTTATCCAGTGCACTGGAAATAGGATGGAAAAGAACATCATTAAATAAAGATAATTATTGAAGAACAGATGGAAAAAAGTTCAATACTAATTTATCATTAAAAGAGAATACTCAAATCAAGTAAATAAGAATGAAAAGATGGAGAGAAAGAGCAACTAACTCTAGTATTTCCTCCATGGACGCAATGTTCCCTGACACCATTTTGTGGATGATATGCGCATGGTCCTCTTCTGTCAGGTGTTGCCGGGAGACAAGGGGCATCAGCTCTGCCATATCAACGTTACTGCCCTCCTGCAGCCATGGGTCATGTGCTATGTCCTCCAGTGTAGAGCGTTTGGCCGGGTCACGAATGAGCATGCGCGCTATCAACCTGCAGGGTGAGAAATAATTTTTGTTACCACTTTTAGAAAAAATAATGACAAGACAAGAATATGGATCCTAGGATTCTTTCAAGAACCAGTATAGCATAACCCAAAGGATACAGGCAATACATAAGAAAGATAAAACTATAAAAAGGGAAAAAATGTTCAAAACAAAATACACAAAATCATATGAAGTTTAAATAAACCAGGAAAATTAAGGAAAGTTAAAATCATGATAACATGACAATATTACAAGAAATTGAAAAAAGGATAGAAAAAATGATAAAATCAAAAATAAATAAATAAACTGTGTACATAAATAACCAAACAGTAAACAAATTAATAACTACAAATAACAGGGAGTAGAAATTACCAGGTCTAAATGAAAGAAGTCCACATGTGATCATAAAAGTGAAGTAATATACAAAAAAGAGGAGAAAGAAGACAGGTCGCATGCACATAAGGCAACTGGTTGGAAGGGGGAGAAAGCGGTTGCACTTGACAATCAGAAATCAATAAGCATCAACTGGTGCTTTGGCTCTCCGATGACCTTGAAATCACTGAGCCTTTATGGTTCAATCACGAGGGTATAAACACCAGCCCTCTCAGCCTCTGTGGAGAGCTGTTATGTAAAAGGAAAGGTTATGTATCATGTACCAGATTTCATGTAGGTTGCATGTAATGGTGTACAACAGTGTGGGTGTTATACAGCTATGTGACATATTCAAAGTGTGACAAACAGTCAGTCTGACATAAAACATGGCTAAGAATAAATATGACATAGGGCAACTTTAAACTGTGTTTGTGAAAGCTATTATGTGTTAGATGGGCTGTTACACAGGAGCAAGATGCACACTTTATAAGGGAACAAAGGATGGCTGGAGAAACCAACTCTGTGGCAATATCAGGATGAGGACAAGGCTGGTTCCCACCTGTAGTGCATGACCAGCTGTGGGAACCACCTGTGTGCCATTCAACAGCAGGAAGAACCTAATCATTGGTGATGGAGGGACATTTAAACTCAGGACCTCACTCCCTGCTTTCTGTAGTGGGTTGTTGTGGAGAGGGAGAGGGAGAGAGAGAGAGAGAAAGAGAGATAGAGAGAGAAAGAGAGAGAGAGAGAGAGAGAGAGAGAGAGAGAGAGAGAGAGAGAGAGAGAGAGAGAGAGAGAGAGAGAGAGAGAGAGAGAGAGAGAGAGAGAGAATATATAGAGAGAGAATATAGAGAGAGAGAAAGAGAGAGAGAATATAGAGAGAGATAGAGAGAGAAAGAGAGAGAGAGAATATAAAGAGAGAGAAAGAGAGAGAAGAGAGAGAGAGAGAGAGAGAAAGAGAGAGAGAGAGAGAGAGAGAGAGAGAGAGAGAGAGAGAGAGAGAGAGAGAGAGAGAGAGAGAGAGAGAGAGAGAGAGAGAGAGACAGAGACAGAGAGAGAGAGAGAGAGAGAGAGAGAGAGAGAGAGAGAGAGAGAGAGAGAGAGAGAGAGAGAGAGAGAGAGAGAGAGAGAGAGAGAGAGAGAGGGGGAGGGAGAGAGAGAGAGAGAGAGAGAGAGAGAGAGAGAGAGAGAGAGAGAGAGAGAGAGAGAGAGAGAGAGAGAGAGAGAGAGAGAGAGAGAGAGACAGACAGAAACAAAGAGACAGAGACAGAGAGGGGGCACTTCAAATGCAAAGGGCAATAGACATAGAGAATCTGAGAATGCCAGCAGTAGGCAGCGGTCTCAAAAAGTTGGAAAAAAAACACACTAGTCTAGCAGATGGTAACAGTCGGCGGACGGTAGCGACGGGCGGCTGTGAGAGCAACTTTAATAATACATAATGGTTCATTCCCGGTCGGCGCTACCCTCGTTGGGTGGGTGAGGGAGGCGAGTGAGGTAAGGGGTGAGATAAGTGTGTGTGAGGGTGAGTAAGGGGAGTGGTTATGAGGTAAGGGGGAGTGGTTATGAGGTAAGGGGGAGTGGCTATGAGGTAAGGGGGAGTGGCTATGAGGTAGGGTTATGAGGTAAGGGGGAGTGGCTATGAGGTAAGGGGGAGTGGTTATGAGGTAAGGGGGAGTGGTTATGAGGTAAGGGGTAGTGGTTATGAGGTAAGGGGAGTGGTTATGAGGTAAGAGGGAGTGGTTATGAGGTAAGGAGGAGTGGTTATGAGGTAAGGAGGAGTGGTTATGAGGTAAGGGGAGTGGTTATGAGGTAAGAGGGAGTGGTTATGAGGTAAGGAGGAGTGGTTATGAGGTAAGGAGGAGTGGTTGTGAGGTAAGGGGGAGTGGTTATGAGGTAAGAGGGAGAGGTTACGAGGTAAAGGATAGGGGAGAAGGAAGGGAGAGAAGTGGTGATATAAAAGACGTAAGACTGAAGTGCGGGGGTGACTGACATAAGGAAATGTAGGGTGAACTAAAATAAGGGTGAAAGAGTGAGGCAAGGGAGTGCGGGGTTGATGTAAGGGCGGATGCAGGGTGAGGTAAGGGTGGGCGAGCTTTAAATTGTTTGTTTACCGGACACGTTGACAGGGAACATATGCACTTTTGTTTGTTTTCATTATGAACCATTAATCATCCATTCCTTTATCGCTTGGCATGGGTAGAGGGAGGAACAGAGAAAGAGAGAAAGAGAGAAAGAGAGAAAGAGAGAGAGAGAGAGAGAGAGAGAGAGAGAGAGAGAGAGAGAGAGAGAGAGAGAGAGAGAGAGAGAGAGAGAGAGAGAGAGAGAGAGATGGGGGAGGGAGGGAGAGGGAGAGGGAGAGGGAGGGGGAGTTGGAGGGGAGGGGGAGGGGGGGGGGAGGGAGAGGGAGAGGGAGAAGGAGAGGGGGAGTCGAAGGCCAGGGAGCCCTGTGAGGAAGGAAGAGTAGAACAGATAGAGGGAGGAGAGAAAGAGTGTGAATAAGGTAGCTGAATGATGATAGAAGTACGGTAGAGAGAAACCAATTACTCTTTCAATAAAAGAACAGAATGCCATGTTAGAGATAAAAAGAGAGACAGAACACACCTACAGTAAACAAGAATAAAGCCTATAACTGGAAAGCATGGGGCTCCGAGAGGGCCCAGGCCGAGGCCGTGGAGCGGGGCGCCTACCTCCTGCAGGGCTCCGAGACGTATTCGGGGATGGTGTACTTGCAGTCCATGATCATGGTGAGCGTCTCGCTGTCGTTGGCCTCCTGGAAGGGCGCGTGGCCGCACACCAGCATGTACAGGATGACACCCAACGACCAGATGTCTGAAGGAGAGACGCCCAAATGGAGCTCATGTAGTTTCTCAGCCTTTACAGGTTTAAGACGGCAACGCAGTCATTCGGTCATAATTTTTGTATAAATACACTGGAAGGGAAGCCTTAATGATAAATCTACCGAAAAACACACTTACGCTCAAGGTACGATCACACAATTTTTTCCGGGCAGCTTCACCGTAGGCACAGAGCTTTCTCAGAGAAAATTCTACTGTGATGTAATATTAAGTGACTAGATGGATGATATAACTGCTATTAGAAATTAATGCTGCGTGAAAATTAATAACAATGGTTAATGCAGCCATGACAACGTAACTACCGTAGACCACTTCAAATACTCGATATATTAATCTTAGCTGATTACGTATTAACACACACTAACACCCTCACTAAATCCCTGACTGACATACTTCACTGACCACAATAAAAAGACTTACCCTCACTTATCCTCCTAATGCACACACGTACACCCTCACTGGAGATGGCAAAGCTCAGCGCCAGAGCGTTGGCTTTGCAACAGCCAGGTTCCAGGTTCGCGTCCAGCCAGCCCTTCTTCGACTTCAGACACCCTTCTTAACCTCTTCAACACATACGCACAATCTAACCAGTAACGGACATTCCCTCCATGATCAACCCCGAACACACATATCACTGACCCTTAATGCCCATACCCACAGACTCACCAACTATCATCACGCACACTCCTACCGTCACTCCCCGCCCCCGGCTCCCCGCCCCCGGCTTCCCGCCCCCGGCTTCCCGCCCCCGGCTACTCACCCACGGCTGGCGCGTCGTAGGAATCCCCGAGGAGGATCTCCGGCGCCGAGTAGGCCAGCGACCCGCACGACGTCTCCAGCTTCTGTCCGGGGCAGAACTTGTTGCTGAAGCCGAAGTCCGTGAGCTTGACCATCCCGAGCTTCTCGAAGAACACCACGTTCTCGGGCTTCAGGTCCCGATGCACCACGTGCAGCTTGTGGCAGTAGCTGATGGCGTGCACGATCTGCCGGAAGTACTTGCACGCCGCCTCCTCCTCCAGCCCGCGGTCGTGCCTGGGGGAGGGGGAAGGGAGGGGAGGGAGGGGTGGACGGAGGGAGGTAAACAGAATCAGAGGGAGGAACAGAGGGGCGGGAGAAGAGAGAAGCAAAAAGGACGAAGGTCGGAAGGAAAGAACGAGGAAGAAGAGGAAGGGAAGAAAGGGAAGGGGAAGGATTAAGAGTGCACGGAAAGAGAAGACGGGTTGAAGAAAGGAGGAAAAGAGACACAAAGACCGACGGAGAGAGAGAAAGAGGTGGATAAAGGAAAGGAAACAGAGAAAAAGGTGGAGGACGAAAAAGGAGGAAAGGATTAAGGGTAAAGAAAGGGTGGAAGGAGATGCCGGATTAACGCGAGGAATTATGATCCAAGATGAATCTATTTTGTTGATACACTGATAAATATTTACGAGGGCAGTGAATATTTACTTAGTTATATACACTATACAAGCATATAGTTTACACCGATTTATTATCGAAATTAGCTGAATTACAAGAAAAAAAATGTAATCACACGCACACACGTAGACTTAAGCATAATTATAAAGACAAAATTTAAGCATCTTTATCTACATAAATTTAGGCATGGCTTAACACGCTTAACCATACATAAAGACATTTAATCACACCACACACACACCCACACACACCCAAACTCCCACCCACCCACCCACACCCACACTCATACACTCATACACTCACACACACACACACACACACACACACACACACACACACACACACACACACACACACACACACACACACACACACACACACACACACACATGCGTGCGTGTGCGTGTACATGTGTCCGTGCATGTGCGTGTGTATGTATATGTAAGTATGTATGTATGTATGTATGTATGTATGTATGTATGTATGCATGTGTATGTATATGTGTATGTATCTCTCTCTCTCTCTCTCTTTTCTGTCTTTTTTTTCTCTCTCTTTCTTTTCCCTATAACTTTCCCTCTCACTCTCTTTCCCCCTCTTCCTCTCCATCTCTCTCTTCTGCTCTTCCTCTCCCTCTCTCCCTCTCCTTTTCGCTCTCCCCCTCTCCCTCTCCCTCTGTCTCTCTCCCCCTCCATCTTCCTCTCTCTCTCTCTCTCCCTCTTCCTCTCCCTCCCTCCCTCTATCCCTTCCTTCCTCCCCCCTTTCCTTCCTTCCTTCCTTCTTTCCTTCCTTCCTTCCTTCTTTCCTTCCTTCCTTCCTTCCTTCCTCCTTTCCTTCCTTCATTCCTCCCTCTCACCCTTCCTTACTTCCTCCTTTCTTTCCATCCTTCCTTCCTTCCTTCCTTCCTTCCTTCCTTCCTTCCTTCCTTCCTTCCTCCCTCCCTCCCTCCCTCCCTCCCTCCCTCCCTCCCTCCCTCCCTCCCTCCCTTCCTTCCTTCCTTCCTTCCTTCCTTCCTCCCTCCCACCCTTCCTTCCTTCTTCCCTCCCAACCTTCCTTCGTTCCTTTCCCCCTACCTCTCTGTATTCTCCCCTCCCCCCTCCCTCTCTCCTGTACCACAACTTTAAAAACTGATTAACTAAGGTGCAATAAGACGAGATGAAACTTGAGTAAATGTAAAGAAAGGTTAGGCGAGGCCACTGCTGCTAAGTGAAAGGTCACTCTAGACGCAAATATAATTCTCGGTACTAAAATCCCGACGTTCTAGATCAAGGAAAGGTTAAAAGCAAGGAGCGGCGCCCCTCCATTGTTCCTCTACTATTTACAAAGACAGCGGAGAGCAAATCCCACGTGAAATAACTGGGAGGAATTAAAGGTATTTGCCAGACAATGGAGGTGAAAAAAAGGGAATGAACTCTTCTGGGTAATATAAAGTAAAATAAAGTCACGCTAAAAAAAAACTCACACTACATGAGTAAACCAAATAAATAACGAGAGAGAGAAAAAAAACAGATCATACAATTCACACAACAGCCTAAAACACAAAAGATTCTCTCCAATGCCCCGGCCCCTGAGCCATTCCAGGCCACCCCCCCCCCCCCCCTGCGCGGACGGCATCCAGGCACTCACTTCATGATGTAGTCGTACATGTCCCCTCCATCGGCCAGCTCGAGGATGAGATAGAGCTTGGTCTGGGTGTCGATGACCTCGTACAGGCGCACCACGTTCGGATGCTGCACCAGCTTCATGCATCGGACCTCCTGCAGAAGGTGCGACCGCGACACTTCGTCCAGCCGCACCTTGTCTATCACCTAGGGGGGGGAGATGAGGAAGAGGAAGGGGATTAATCATCTCATGTGGCTTTGTTTTTTTGGACTGGTATGAAGAAAATAAAAATAAAAACAAATTTGTAAGATTATTAGGAAATTGTTTACAAAAAAAGGAAAACTTTATTTCCTAGAAAACAAATGAACCTTACCTATATACCAATGCATACATAACCTAATCAAGAGTCAAATCTTTCTTTCTATATTAAATCATAAAATTAATTTTAAGAACAACTTCCACTCTCAATTATAACTAAAAGAAAACCATCTGATATTCTACTTCTAAATCAATGTGGGTAATTCACTATTAATAAAACAGTGAGAAAGTCTATTATCATTTTTTGACAAACAAACATCACACAGAGACACCACGAAATCCCCTCAATAACGACAGACAGCGTACTTTTTTCATACCAACTCCGTATTCCTCCCAACCAAGATGATACGGACAATTTCGGGTATTACAAACCGTAGCCTAACTCCCCTTTGAGAAACCATTAAGAATGCCATCCCTCCCACATACTTTCACCTAAAAAAATAAAATAAAAAATAACCTAAATAAACAAGAGCACAACGCACTTCTTATCAACTTATCAACAACTTCCATGGCTTCTTCTTCGCATACTACTTCAACTTGCCTCAAAGATATCCTGCCATAATTAAATGAAACTTCCCTTCGTGGAGCGGTTCTGTTGCTACAAGTCAAGAACTTAAGTAATCTTTCCCTCCAAACTTATTCATTTGAGATACGGTACCTTACTGAATGTGGGGATAAGGAAGAACTAAGATAAATACAAGAAAACAGAGATGGTGAACTGGGATGTGAAGAAAATGATATAACGCTCCTACTAATTATACTCGAATTTGCAGGTAACGTGGAAGAAATTGTTTCTTTCTATAATCAATAAATCAATATCAAAATAATAAAATTTGTAAAACACGAAGATGATGAAGAAGAAGAAGAAGAAGAAGAAGAAGAAGAAGAAGAAGAAGAAGAAGAAGGAAGAAGGAAAAAAGACAAAAGAAAGAAAGAAAAATAAATAAAGAAAAAACACCGCGATCCGCCTACCAAACTGAGAGGTCGCACAAACAAACTCTACGGTCCGACCACACCGCATTTCAGTTACTCACCTTGACGGCCACCTTCTCTCCCGTGAAGACGTGTCTGGCCAGCTTGACGACGGCATAATGGCCTCGTCCCAGGGTCTCCTCCAAGTCGTACAGCCCCGCGATCTTGCCATCGTAACCGCCCACGTTCATAGTCC